GGGGGGCAATAGGGTATGGTAGTTTTTGAAGCTGTTAAACCTTATACTGTTAATTGATCTTCGCTTTCATTACTTTGCTTATGTGTTTGTTCGTTTTTAGGGAGGGAAGGTGTTGGTAGATGAGATCAGCTCGCAGGACGGGAAGAAAATTGATTTTCAGATAGACATTGTAATAAATACGGTCAATAAACGTCTGTAGATACTTTCAGTGGTTTTGATTAGGGCGTCACATAGCGTTAAACACATGTAGGGCAGTTGGAAGGACAGGCTTTTGGGTATGGTCGGAGGTCTAAGGTTCGAATCCGGATAGCAACGGAATTTCTGTTTTCTCTAAACTTGTCTCCTTTTACATCCTCTCCTGCTCTAGCAATATTCTGTCGTTTGCTTTCGTCCCACTTTCTGCCCCCGATCCCTCGCCTACTTTGCCCCCTCATCTGGGCTCCTGGCTCTTTCTGCAGCCTTTTTACTGCTACTCCCTGGCTCCTTTTTGCTAACTGCTGTCTTTCAGCCACAACTCTGATCTCATGGTAGGAAAGATCTTCACAAAGCCTTCTCGGAGAAGGGCGAAAAATCTCAGAGGTCCTGTGTGCAAGCTGTGCACTTTAAAGATTCCTTGTTGGTCCAAAATCGATAAGAGTAGGCTTCGGCTGCAAAATTCTAAATTTCATACCAACTGAAAATGTTTAATGTGTCCCGGGCGCTCATCTGACCTTATGCAGTTGAGAGCGCCGTAAAACACTTACTATTTTTTTGTGTGATGAGTGATGTACCACCGTGGGTTAGACAAAAATAATTGTGACCAGTTGTTTATTCGCTGCTTATTGTAAGGAAGAGTGACTATACAGTAAGCTTCTTATCTTTAGCCTCCCCCAGCAAAGGAGAAGTCAATTAAAGAAATCTTAATGACATTAGATAGGTCGCTTGGACTTCGAAACAAATTATTGCCTTGAACATAAGTCGAGACTTGTATTGTAGTTTCGTTATCTCAAAATACAACTAAAAAAGCATTACAAAAAATAACTTTTTTTCAGTTAAGTTTTAGAGAATGTTCTACTGCTCTTGCAACAGAATAAGGTCATTAAGTGCCGAATAGTAGAGGTACTCCAGAGAGCAACAAACATAAAATAGGAGGGGAAATCAGGACGATAGATGTTTTATAGGGCGGAAGGAGAAAACCAGAAAACCATACCAGTGCACCTAGCAACCATCTGCGTAGTTTTTCTTTTTAAAAGTCTTTGGGGTTCTTTTGGGATTTTTTGTAAAGTGTTTTACGGCGCTCGCAACTGCATAAGGTCATATGAGCGCGCGGGACACACCTAATATTTTCAGTTGGTAGGAAATTTTGAATTTTGCCCGGGTGGCGGCTGAAGCCTACTCTTATCGATTTTAGACCACCAAGGGATCTTTAACGTGTGCAACTTGCACACGGGCCCTCCGAGATTTTTCGCCATTGTCCGAGAAGGCTAGGTGTAGATCTTTCCTACCAGAAGATCAGGGGTGTGGCAGAAAGACAACAGTAAGGAGGAGCAAAGGAGTAACAGTAGAAAAGCTGCAGAAAGAGTAAGGAGCCCAGAGGAGGGGGCAAAGGAGGTGAGGGGGTGGGGGCAGAAAGTGAAAAAGAAAGCAGACAACAGAACATTGCTAGAGAGCAGGAAAGGGGGTGAAAGGAGACAATTTTAAAGAAGAAAAATTTTTGGTCGCTACTCGGATTCGAACCCGGGACTTTTGAATGAGAGGCCAACACCTTAACCCCTAGGCCACGAGAGCCCCCCTTTTAAAAGTCTGTTCTCTTTTTTTATGAACAATAAAAGCAAACATATTCAGAGAGGATGCAAGTTGGTCCAAGACTTTAAAAACGTTTTATCCTCGCTTTTAAAGACTAATGAACATTTGACCTTGATGCAGGCTTTTCCAAAATATAAAAGGGGATGTCTTTAGGTAGGCTATGACCTTTGAAAGGTAAGAGGTTTGGTGGGGGAGGGGGGGGGGCAAAAGAAGCTTCGTAGGTGGTATCCTGTGAGAAAACTCGCCTCATAAGCACGGCTGTTGACCACTGCTGGTTTCTTCACTTCGACCTGTGGAGGAGATTCCTGCATGTGGGGGAATAAGACAACGCAGGGGGAGACCACCCGAGGATAACAGCTGATTATCCCTCTTTGCCGGAGAATTGCAAATTACGCGAACTGCTTAGGTCCCTTTCCACACCATTCAGTTGAACACTTAGACTCTTTGGGGGGACCAGGTATGGTATATTATGAACCTGAGGAGGGGAGGGGAGGGGGAAGGAAGGGGGAGGGGGAAGGTGGGGGCTACTAATATACAGGATCGGATGCGTCTTTAAACCTGAAGGTTATTCGATACAGCCCTGCAATTTTTTATACCACCGCCTTCTTTGTTTGTTTGTTTGTTTGTTTGTTTGTTGTTGGGGGTTTTTTTGGTTTGTTTGTTTGTTTGTTTGTTAGAGTAAAGAGAAGCGTATCGGCACAAGAATAGTCATTTAATTTAGTAAAAAGTAAAGCTGTTCCCGCATCCGATCCGGACATTGGGGATTGCCTTGTTAGTGAGACAACTTCCTGGGCCTTTGGCATGTGGTAGTGTGGCCAGTTCCTTTCCACGCCGCCTTTACTTCTTCAACTCGAAGTTAGGTACCCATTACTGCTGGGTGAGCAGGAGGGGGCGAAAAAATTCGTGTCTGAACCAAGGCTCGAACCCGGACTTTCCGCTTCGGAGACGAGCGCGCTAACCGCTCCGCCATCGCATTCGCCA